GAATCCACTAAAGTCTTTTCCCTAAGCTTGCTTTCAGACTAATAGGGGGAAGAAGATGTACATGTGTGATAAATTGTAATTTCTGTAAGAGAGCTTTGTACACAGTACAGTGAGGGCTCAGCGGGTGAGGTGGCCAATTCCCCTGGGGTATGACTGGAAGAGTCACAGAATGTACCTTACTTCACACTTCAGGTAATATAGTGGGGAGTTTGCCAGGCAGGCACAGATGGGAAAGGACAGACATTCTAGTAGATGGAATAGCACGAGCCAAGGCTTGGTGGTGTTCAGCAGCCAGGCAGCTTCTACCGACTTCTGGTTCTAAGAGTAGAGGAGGCAGGTGGCTGGGAGGCATTGTGAGAGATGAGGCTGGAAAGGTGGACAAAAGGCAGCTTACGCAGACCTTGAGTGCCCCGCGAAGGAAATTGGCTTTTAGCAATTACATTCTACACCTGACCCCCTAGCCTGGTGCCAGGGGTGCTGACCCAATTTCTGCTAAAATAACAGCTGGGTGCTATAATCCCAAATGAGGCATGTGGACACCCTAATTCCAAGACAGATCCTCCATGTACGCAGCAGAAATTGCCCCATTCAGTCCGATGCTTTCCTAATCCAAGAGCCCAGGCATCGCCAGCATTAGCATCAGCCCTACTCAGACTTTGCTCTCGTCACAGGGAGGAGAGACACTTCAAGGACTTCCGGTTTTACAAGGCCTATCCCATTGTTCCTCCTCCCCAGCTTCCCACCACACGGCCCAGCTCTGCATTCGGCAGTCAACAACCTTTCCGTTCATAGCTCACTCTTTGGCCTCTTTGTCTTAAAAAAAAAATTTTTTTAACACCTACTGGGAATAGAAAACCATTGAAGAATTCTAAGCATGTGTGTGACATGATCAGCTTCTCATTTTAGAAAGATCACTTGATTGCAGCATGCAGTCTGGATGGGAGATAGGAGAGCAGCTGGAACCTTGCAGCAAGCCGGTTGAGAGACCATAAAGCCTCAGTTACACAGGAAGTGTGGGCGCAGAGGGGAGCACAGCCCCTGCTCCCTATTCAATGCAGAAGCAAGACACGGCGTAATGGCTCTAAGGCTTCTGGCTTGAGCATGTCAGAGGGGGGATGTCTCCTCCCTGCTCCTCCACTTCTATGAAGAAGGATCTTTTCCTGACCGCTGCTGGCCTTTTGCCTAAACCTTACTCCCATCCAGAGATAGAGTGAGTTACCTGGTTAGTGGACAACAGCCCTTTGTCCGTGTTTCTTGGGGTGAAGTTCTTGGGGTGAAGTGATTATTGAAGGTCCGGTTTTTTTCTCCTCCCTTCCATCCTTGCCCACTAAGCAGCAAGAGCCTGGGTCCACTCTACAAGTCTGATTCCCTTGGCTGGCCTGCAATTGGAGGTAGGAAGCTGGGAAGCCCAATTTCCTCATCTCTAGTCTCCAAATTGCTGTTTTTCTATGATAATGGAGATTATTAATTATTATTATTAATTATTAATGTTGCACTGTTGACTTCTTGACCTAATTTTGGGGAGATCTTTAAACCCCAAAGCCGTGTTTGTCTGAGGTCCCTATGGGAGCTCCAGATGAAGCTGTTCAGGAGAGACAGTTGGGGTGAGGGCTTTGGAAACACGAGAGCCTGGCTAGAGACAGATGATGTTGGTAACCATGGGCTGGGTGAGATGACTGGGGGAGTGGATGAGCTTTGGTCTCTGCCCTGGCTTTGTGTCAGTCCCTGGTGACCATTTCTAAAATACAGATGGTCAGGCCCCAGCTCTGGAGGTGGCATGTCACGGTATCTGGGCTGGTGAGAGTCATCTGTGTTTTCTAAATAAGCTCAGCAGACAGTGTTCTGATGCTCACTGAGCAAGGCTGAGACACCCTGGTGAGAGTGGGAAGTTGGAGGGCAGAGCCCCAGGACCCATCTGCACTTAGGAAGCGTGTATGTGTCTGCATGTATCAGAGATTGTTGATCAAAAGCTACTTAGTAATGATCTATGACAAGTGACATTATTACCAGTGTGGGCTTCTTGCATTATAGGAACTAGGGCCTAGACAGTACACAGCCTTATTGTGGAGAAGACAAGCTTGTCTCTAGTTATGTTATTTTTTAAAAATACACTGAGGGGGGTGCCCCTCGGTAGCCCAATCAGTTGGGCATCTGACTCTTGGTTTTGGCTCAGGTTGTGATCTCCGGGTCCTGGGATCAGGCCCCACATCGGGCTCCATGCTCAGCAAGGCCTCCGCTTCTCCCTTTCCCTCTCCTCCTCCCCCCTCTCAAATAAACAAACAAACAAATAAATGAAATCTTTTTAAAAATACACTGAAAATGTGCATTTTTTAAAAGATTTTTATTTATTTGACAGAGCTAAAGAACACAAGCAGGGGGAACAATAGAAGGAGAGGGAGAAGCAGACTCCCCACCGAGCAGGGAGCCCGGTGCAGGGCTCGATCCCGGGACCCTGGGATCATGACCTGAGCTGAAGGCACATGCTTAACCATCTGAGCCATCCAAGCGCCCCATGATTATAACTTCTTGATAACACAGTGGTTTTGTTTTGTTTTTTTTTTCCCAACAGGATGGCCAGACCTTGCAGTTCTAATTAGCCTCCATTTCCAATGTGGGATAAGGTGATTATGCCCTCCAGAGGAAAAGAGAAAGAGTATCTTGGCGTAAGCCATGAAAAGGATTATGGGAAATTCACTTGAGTCCATCTCAGGACTCTATCTGAGGAAAAGAAATGGAATCCTTTGATTGATGAAGGAATTTAATTTCATCTAAATCCTTGATTTAGTATAAAAATGGGGTTACAATTATACTCCTTTAAAGTGTTTGTGTGACCCTGGGAAAATTACTTGGGCCCTCTGCATCTTAGTCTCCTCATCTGTAAAATGGGGATAATAACAAGACTTACTTCATAAGAGCTTTGTAAGGATTAAATGACATAATACATGTAAAGCACATAGCCTAGTGCTCCAGGCACATGCCAAACATTCAATAAATACGAGCTTAAAAAGGTTTAGACCAATAACTAAACAGCACTACTACTCACAAATAGTACTAGCTTACCACTCTGTGCTTCTGACATGGGAGTACCACAACATGATTTAACTTGATGTGTATTACTCAGGCCTCCAGGAACAAGGGAATTTTCCTGGGCTGGAGAATAGACACTTTCATGACAGACCACATTCCTTGGCTATTTGAAAGATTAGCTTCAAAGATTGCTTTGAAAATGTACCTCCCAAGAGCTTATTAGAGGTGTGTTTGGATCTGGCTAGATGGCAGCATAGTCCAGCTTGGGAATTGTCTGCCTGGCTTTGTGAGGGGGAGAAATAAAAATAAGGAGGCCTTGTAAGCATTGTTATCCAACAGTACTGGGGAATTCTAGGTACTCTGCTTAATCAATTATTCACCCATCAATTCAATAAATGAATATCTACTTTGTGCTGGACAAAGTGCTAGCTGCTGAGGATACAAAGATAAATAAATCCCTTGCCTCCAACAAGCCTACAATTTAGCGAAAGGACAGACAGGTAAACATGTACTACAATTTAAAGGACAATTTCCACAATTGGGGGTATGCGCAAAATGCCATGGTTGCAGAGGGGAAGGGGGCCCCTTCGGATCACATAGACAATTGGATACGTGGTGATATCGCTCTTCCAATCTGGGACACCATGAAGAGAAGGAGAATTTAGTGGAGAAGGTAATGAGTTGGGGTTTTGCTCTGTTGTTTGAATTGCTTGTGCAACCTCCAAACCAAGATGAACGAGTGGATCTAAAACTAAGGGAGTGGTCAAGGTTGGAGCCCCAGACTTGGAGGTCATTAGCGCACAAGTGGTAGCTGATGGGCATGGATGATGGTACCTTGGAAGAATGTTAAAGTAGAGAGATACTGTGAAACACTATCATTCAAAGGGCCAGCGGAGGAAGAGGGGCCAGAAAGGAAAACAGAAGGAACAGAGAGGTAGGAGAGGAACCAAGAGCGAATGAGCAGGATTGGAAAAACCAAGAGAGGATTTTTAAGATAGTCTCAATATTTTCAAAGTATAAGTTTAATGACAGAATTAATTGGCTACTATTCCATAAAAGGATTACTCTATTTCCGAAGAATTTGCACAGTGTCTTACACGTGTTAAAAGGTTGAGAAAATAAATTAGAACATGATAATGCAAACTTAATGCTAAAACTACCGAGCACAACGTAACTTCTAGATCGTTTGGAAGGCACTTTGGGATTTTCTCAGTGCCTCAGGGCACCGTTATGAACTCTAGCTATTGTCCTGCTCAAGTGTGGGAGGGCTGACGAATGGAGCATTGATTGACCTCTGGATAAACCAAATTTCACTCCCAGTGGGAGGGCTCACTAGCAGCAACAGAAAAGTGTATCCAGATCCCAGCGCAGGCTAGGAAGCCAGCTGACTCAATCAGGGGCATGAACCCAGCAGAAAAGATTAAAAAGCTTTAATCCTTCCAGTTTCCCCCACTCCCTTGCATATAATGTGAGACTTGTCAGTAAAGGGAAGTTCAGAAAGCAAATCAACCTCCCATCCCATATCCTAATGTCCTAGAAATGATTGTTACGTCTGTACACATGGGTTTCAAGGCCTCCCGATAGCTGTCCAAATACTTGGATCTGAGTTCATAATGGTGTGACATACACTTGAAATAATAAGTTTAATAGAGCCAAGAGAACCCGATTTAGAAACTTGTTTCTAAGACTGAGCCTTTCCTAAGAGGGAACCTCTTGCCTTAAGGAGGGATCGTCACTGATGTTCTAGGCACGCGGGCTAAATGAATTAATCTTCGGTCTCCCTGGGCTCTGACTGTAAGGTCACTCTATGCTTTCAGTTTGCCAGCTATCAATTCTGTTACTGTCACATCAAAGACAACAAGTAAACTTGAGTCGGGGTTTCAGGGGATTATTGTCCCCAGACCGCCAGATTCCGGCACTGCCATGACCACTGATGGTCTGGCAAAGAACGAGAGCTTTTCTGAGACAATCAAGACAGTCCACATGGGAATAATTCTCCAATTGTCCTTGCTGAGTGGGATTACTGGGTTTAGAGGCATTTTTGCTGAATGGTACAGCTCCCGATGAGAAGGGGGTGGGAGAAGGGATGGGAAAGGGGAAGGAGCTGATGGGAGTGGGCCGGCGCTGCTTGCCACCCCCCCCCCCCCCCCCGTCTGAATGGTAGTGGGCCGCTGTGATTGTGCTTTCATCCACCATTCAGAGTCAGGCTACTCATCATCATCATCGCTGTCGTCATTAGACTCCTCGTCAGAATCATTGCCATCGTCATCTTCATTCTCATCATCATCCTCGTCATCCCCATCTTCATTGTCATCATCTTCAGTGTTTATCTTTCCGGAAAGCACATCCTCGATCCAGTCCTCCAGCTCCTCGGCCGTGGGCAGGTCATCATCATCAGGGATCTCCATCCAGACACTGTCAGCCTGCAGCGAGGGACCGAGTGAGCAAGTGCTGGAAGGCCCAGCCAGACCAGAGGGTTCCAAGCAGCCGGGCCCGGCCATCAGGAACATGTGCACACTGTTTCGTGGGAATGCCTCAGTGCAGAATGCTATGTGTAGCAGCCCGCTCGTGCAATGTCAAGGGAAACGTGTCTTCCATTGTGTGTGCACGTGTGTGTGTGCAATTTTCCCCCAGAGGTCTCTGGAGAAGGAGAGTGGGTATGGAGGCAAGGCTGTGGAGGGTTGGCAGGGGAATGGGCGAGGCCCAGCACACTAGGCCCAGCAGCTGCCCCAACCAGAGATGCCACCCCCCCGACCACTCACCCCGAATTTCATCCTTGCCTTCCCACCCTAGATTGGTTCCTCCAGATCAAAGCACTGCCTGGAAGAGACCCTCCCCACCCTAACCTGCCTGCCTCCTGATCCCCACCATTAGGTTGATACCGTGGAAAGTGCTGGGAGGTGGGAGGTAGCCCAGGATTGGGGCAGTTCCCAGGGGGACTGAAATCAAGTATTATTGTGAATCATAACTATATTTGCACTGTTTTTTCTTTTCCTTCTGATTTCATGAGCGTATCTACAAGATACCTATATACCTATATAATAACAACAAACATGTACATGACATTCTGGTAGGATAGCCATGAAACTATCACCAATGTTTCCCTCTGGGAATGGGACTAGGAAAGGGATCAGGGCAGTGGGAAATACTTTTGCTGTTCACCTTAGAGTCTACTGTTTTACTTACAAATGTTTTAACTGGAGTAAATTTTAGAAAGTATTAATTATTATTATTAGTTTAAAATGCAGTGTACAGAATAAATAAACGTAGAATTCCCCAGGGGACCGAAAGCCTACCAACAGGATAACAGGACATGCTAACTGGCCCCATTCGCAAGCATTTCCACCACAATTAATTATGGCTCTAATGACTTCTCTGGGACCATCTCTTTCTGTCCGTTATTTGCTCATTATCTATTGTATCTGTCTCCCCTTCTGTTTTGTTACGGTGGAGTTGTATCAGCCACAGAGAGCGAGGTCTAAAATTCCTCATGCTCTGCCAGTCCACCACACCAGCTTTTCCCACCCTCACTCAGTTCAAGTGTGTCTGCATGGTGAGGAGGGGCCCCTCCTCCTCCTTCATGATCTTCCTCCTGCCCCCTCCCTGGCAGCACCCCCTCCCCTCCCCACAGTCACCCATTGTGCAATAGCAGCTTCCCACGTGGGTTCTTTTGTGTAAAAAAGAATTTGTTGTTGGGCTTTAGGAGAAAATACAGGACAGTTTACTTGGATGGAAAGTTCCAAATAGTAAAACGGGACGGGCTGGCCCCATAAGCAAGGAAACGTGCCTATGCCTTTCCCAGGAAGTGCCCATGGAAGACAATCCTGAAGCCATGGATTGGGACTGGCTCAGAGACTAGGCTGGGGTCACACTGGCAAGTTTCCTGAGCTTGGGCAGGGCCGAGGGTCCTGCTCATTGCAGGGGAGGCTAGACTCCTATACATGGCATCACAGTCTGGGCTGCATGGCAGAAAACAGGACAAGCTGAGGGTGACTGGTGAGCAAGCATTCATGGGGTATACTCACATCTGTCACATTCACCACCCCAATCTGTGGCTTGAATAGATCAATCTTGAAGGTCTTCTCCCAATAGGCAACGAGCTGAAGCAATGAACAATGAGATTAGACAGCCGACAGAGGGCATTCCTGGTCAAAGCCACGTTTTGTGGCTGGATCCACCTGCCATCCCATCATAGGTCACCATTGCTTAAAGTTCTTCAAAACAGCTGTGGGCACTTCAGAAACTGAAGGCTTGGCCTCAGCCCTCAAGCACTTGATAAGTATGAAAAAAGGAGTTCATAACACCAACTATGAAAACATGTAATATAAAAGCTTCTACAGCTGTAAGGAAGAATATTATAGAGATGGTCCAATGTCGGTTCCCAAATGACTGTTTGGGAATTTTATAGTTTATGTGTGGTGAGAGAGCCATTTTCCTCCACCTCTCTTTCAATCTCCCATTTAAAAATCCCTTACCCTGATCCACTCAGATCCACGGATCCACGAGGTGGCTGGGAAGACTGGGAAGTGTCATGCAAATAAAGGGTTTTTTGGGGTTTTTTTTTTTGTTTTTTTCCGTTCACTAGGCTTGGAATCCACAGGAACTAATCTCTGACTGGGGCGAGACTAAAGGAGTCAGGGGCCATGGGGCTAAGCAATGCAAATGTTCAGTGGCAGAAAGTCTCCAAGGCAAATATATGGCCTGATGGGGACCAGAGATAGTAGGAACCTGGAAATCTGAACAATCTGAAGATTTCTCTTTTGTAAAAACCAAGGCAAACAAACAAATAGAATAGATTGGGACAACTGCAGACCATCTGCAAGCTTGCATAACAAAACAGTCCAGGTAAACTCAAAATACTGCCAGGCAGAGGCTAACTAAAAAGTTATAGTAGGGGCCGCCTGGGTGGTCCAGTCGGTTAAGCGTCTGCCTTTGGCTCAGGTCATGATCCCAGGGTCCTGGGATGGAGTCCTGCATCGGGCTCCCTGCTCAGCAGGGAGCCTGCTTCTCCCTCTCCCTCTGCCCCTTGTTCATGCACTCTCTCAAATAAATAACATCTTTTAAAAAAAAAAGTTATAGTATTTAGGGTCTTATGAGGTCATGACTTTGTTATGATTACCCAGAATAATGACATTGGCTTCAGATGCCATGAAAGTCTCTGCCTCTGACTTATTCTGTATATAAGATTGGATTTCAGGACCCTTGAAATCATTAAACTCCCTCAATTTTGACTATTTAATCATGATGTGATCAGTCAGGTCCTACGCAACAAATGCTAATTCCCGGAAGAAGAGAAGTTATCATTTATAACCAAATGATAACTAAACTTGTACTGATTACCAGCAGTTAGCTCAAGCTAAAGTCTATTGACTGACTAGTAGATAAATCTTTGGCATCAGACAGACCTGGGTTGGAATATCATATCTCCCACTTAGTAGCTTTAACCTTGACAGCAGTTATTGTTTTATTTGTCAGATAGGGATTCTGACAGTTCCTACTTCACAGGGTTGGTGGGAGGGTTCGATGAGATGGTGCCTGTGAAGAATTTACTATAGTTACAGGCATACAATATATTAGCTACATCCATTGTCATCACCACTGGGCTCCTGTACCATACAAATTCTGTTTATTCTCTTTAAAATTAAGTATATAATCAAGGCTTTCTGGCTATTGATCGCTGGCACTAGCAAGAGTTTGGACTTTAAGTTTCTTACACATTCAGCGTGCTAGGACCTGGGAGAACACAATGCATTCGAGACAGGGTCTCTGCCCTCCGAGAGGCTACTCCTTCCTTCCATGAAGTTCTTCAGTCTATGCAAAATGGTCAAGTGTGATTTTTATTACTTATCAACTCAGGTTGCCTGAGAATGATGGTCCCCTCCCAGAACATGAAAGAGGCTGTAGCAAGGGAGGTAGTGGGACAAGGGACAGAAATGGAAGTGCTAGCAGAAGAATATCATCACCCAGCTCACTTGTGTGGGTGGCTCAGATCCCTGGTCTCTAGGGAGTGAGAATGGTGGGTGTCAGCACCAGCACCAGCTATATGTTGCCCCACAATGTTGCCAAGGTCTTCCATGTTGCATAGGGGTGGTCACTGTGTTTCTGCACATGCTTCTCCTATTTCACACCCTCCTTCATGCTTCCGGGTCTCACACTGAACACACACTCACCAGAGGAAAGTCATCCGGGTCAATCCACACGATGCTCAGGTCAGGGTTGTCGGTGTTGTCCCTGGCAACCTGTTTCAGGATTTCCAGGAACTCGTAGCCATCTGAAGCAGGATTCGAGAAATCTGAGTAACCCCTGCACATACATGGCTTCCAGCATGAGGAGCAGGGAGTGGTTTTTCCACGAGGGTTTCTTAGGCCATTTGGTGCATACCCTCAATTATAGGATTATTCTATAAAATGGGTCAGATGAGAACTCCAGCCACAAAGCAGCTTACTCAAAGGAAGCAATAAAAATTTTAAATAAAAAAATATTAAAAGTTCACAGGGAAGTGGCTGGTTCTTAACTCAAAGCCCGGCTCAATTTGCTGATCTGCATGTGAAAACTGACCGGTCTTGAGTCAGCCAGGTGCAATCCCAGATCAGAAGAACCCCTGCCTGGTCCTCAGTGTTCTGTGCCCTCTCTTGAAACCAATAATTTGCTATCCCTCAGAGCTCTACAAACCAAGAACATGTAGCCTGGACACTTAGTCTTCTGCAACCCGGAATTTCTAAAACCTTCAAACGAAGCTTCTGATTTATAGCTGGTTTCATAGCTTTGAGATAGTAAATGGCGTTTCCCTCCCTCTCTCACCATTTCCTGGTATGGTCTGCCCTCCCTCTCCTCAGGCATCAGCATTTATGGCCCCCAGGGGAGGGGTGATTCATAAGAAAAGCAGAGACAAGCCTTGTGAGCCTCAAGAACACAATTTTTTTTTAATTAAAAAAAAATTAAAGCCTAAACCTTTAAGGACTGGGAGCATAAAATTTATACCATAAACACAAAGTTTTGGAAGAACGTTTAGTAAGAGAAAGCACACCCTAAACCCTCAGCATCCCCACCCCACTCCGAGCTAAAAACAAAGATTCTGGAAAGTCCCTGAGAAGAAGCTCTGTGCCTGTGTGTTAAGTGTGTGTGCGTGTGTGTGTGTGCGCACAGAGGCACGCCAGTGTGCACATGTGTGTCCACATACAGAAACGCCACCGTTCCAGGGGATCTCAGAGCATAGGGCATCCATGCTTTGTTTCAGAATGAAACTCTGGGAAATGGAAAGGCCCCAGAATCTCTTGGAGAACACCTCGGTGCTGGAGCATGAGGGCAGAAAAGTCTGCCAGGAGGCCCCACCGGTTCTCTGTTGCTCTGAAGAACATGGGTGAAGCCACAGTTGGGATGGACAGGACCAGTGGTGACCTGCTGGGAACAAGGGCTAGAGGCCACACAGAACCACAGCAGACTCCGACCAGATGTATCCCCCACCTGTCTATGCCTGAGAAGCAGCGAGACACCGGACCTTTAGGGATCGTGGGGTGAGAGTGGGGGCCATCCATGGGACCAGACCCAGTTCCCACTGGGTACGTTACAGGTTTGATTCTAGAGTGTAAAGTTACATTTCTGGCTTGACTGAACGTGTGGCCTGAAATGTACACCTTCTCTACCAGGAACTTCACCACCTGCCTCGGAATTCCGTCCGGCAACTGCCCTTTTGTTATAAAGGTTTCTTCTTTTGCCCAGGGTCCCCACCACTATGAGCCCTTCTGTTTAACAAGTCTCTCCTCTCCCCAGGAGCTCTAGCCTTTGTTTGGCTACTTGCGGCCCCTGGGTAAAGGTTTTTCTCTGCATTTCCTCATTCCTGTACATTCCAGGCGGAATGCATGCCATTCTTGGCAGTTCTGCTTTGAGTGGGTGTAGTCACTTCCAATGTCGCCAACACGGACTGCTAACTGTAGATCCAGACTGGGCCCCCTCAGGCCTTGCTACCTGGAAAGCAGAGCTACTGCTCGGAAAGAAGAGGCCACAGCCCCTTCCTGCAGAGATGTCCTCTGCCTGCGTGATTTTTCCATCTCTTTCTGAATTACAGGTTTCCTCTGATATCCAAAAGTAGAACATTCCTAAGAACCAAAATATTGTAAAGTGAAGAAGCAATAACATGTCATAAAATAAAAAATCCTCTTCGGACTTCTTTTCATCAGCAAAAACAGGTACTAATGTAGGTATTCTGTAAAAGCGAAGTGATGTAATGAGAACGTCGTGAGAGCGAGGGAAAGCTGTGTATCACGAGTCACCGTGTATGATGGACACTTGGGGTGAATAGGGGCACAGGCTTTGGAGTTCATTATCATTGTGGGGATTGGGTGGAGTTGAGGTTGGGGGATATTACTCCTGCCGCCTCTGGGTCCCCCTTCTCTGGGCAGAACAGGGCATCTGTGGGTTATGTATTATAAAGCATAGACCACAATAGGGAATTCTCTAAAACACTTTCCACGACTACTTTCAGTAAGCCAGAAGGAAGAACTCTGGAAGGTGAGAACCAAATTTAAAAGTGAACTTGACAAATCAGAAATTCATGAAGAGGATAAAATTCAACGACACAGACCCTGAGTCACGTAGAAAGTAAATCTGAGGTGCAAAAGACAGACTCGCGTAAAGGGAGGGAAGAAGTCGTCTAGGCACCATATTGTAAAGGGACAAAGGTGTCCTCAGTACTATAGCTGAACACGCAAGACAGCACTATAGGTTTCTGATGGAAAACCCCACAGAATGTTGGAACTAATGAAAAGGAAAGCTACATACAGGAACCTTTTCTACTCTACGTGCTAGAGCAGATTTGGAGATAAAAAGGAAAAGATAGAAGGAATAAAAATTGGGTTCTGCTAGAAAAATCTCAATGAGTGGCAGTTTTTATGTAAACAAGAGAAGTCAAAATTTTCGCTTAGTGCTTAATTTTAGGAATACAAAAGGTTTTTGTGTCTACAGAGAAGTAAGGAAAACTCAAAAAACATTCACGGAATACATCGATAAATGAGGCTGTCATTAAGGCAAGAGAAACCTCATCCAGATCCAAGGACAGCTTTTCGACTTTCAGGATGACAAATTCCATAATGGACATAATCCTTCTGCATTCCTGGGTATTTTCAAGAACAGAACAGGGGCGAGCAACCCAGCATGACACTTAAACACACAGACCCGTGGGGCAAACAACCTTGGTCCAAATCCTGGTTCTGCCATTTTGAGTGTGACTTCGGGCAAGTTATTTAAGTCTTGGTTCCTCATCTGTAAAATTGGAATGATGATAATAAAAGTACCTATTTCATAAGGTTGGCTGTAGGTTACATGAGTTAGTACTTCTAAATCCCTAGACACAGAGTAAGCTTTAGCCATCATTCCTAAAGGATCTGGATTTTTCTGCCTGAATACAAGGAACCTGGCCATTCATCTCTCCTTTTAGGGCATGGGTAATAAATACAATGATCTGGGCACAAGCAGTGTTATCGATACAGTCTTGGCCCCACACGGTAGAGAAGACAGGCTCGTAGGAAGTCACGCCAGGAGATGGTATGTCATGGGGTGGTTCCTTCTGGCCCCTGCTCATGATTCTGTGGACTGAAGGCCTCAGGGATGGCTGTGCCAGCAGATGTGACTATGAGAACCTTGCTTCATATGTGGGTTAGAATTAGTTTTAATTCCTTTGTTTTAAAGGCATTAAGCTAACTTGGATATTCCTGATTCAAGGTTCACAAGCCTGACAGATTATCTCCCCTTATATTCCCAGCCTTGGATGTAGACCTGCTGGAATGGATTCTCCTGCATCTGGGAAAGCTGAGTTAAGGCAGCTAAACTGGTCTCCCAGGTATTTAGTTGCTAAAAATTGCGAGTTTACAAGTTCAATTTCCTCTTAGGGAGAGCTTCTGTTTCTTTGTAAAACAGGTGCCCAGGCAGGTGTCTTGGAAAAGGGAAACAGCCACTGTGGACTCTCCCTTTTGGACCAGGAAGGCAGGTGCAGGAAGCCATATTTCACTTTTATAATTCAGTGTAAAGCCCAAGATGAGTCCACAATTGCAATTGCATGAATGAATGGATGGATTTGAAACGGATAAATGTTTCCTTTATCAGTGATGCACTAAGCTTAGAGGCCTTTAAGATTGTGGCCATGTATCTTTCAGAAGGAAAAGTCCATAATTAAAAAAAAAAAGCTAGATTAAAAAAAAAAAGGAGGAAATATTATTCCGTGATTTGGGGGCTAGCAATTATTTAGCCACCGAAACTAGAGGACTTGTCAGAGCATTTAATCTTCACATCTAGTCCCGATGGAGTCAGGAAGATTTTCGTTTTTCCATTTCAAAGAGGATGGAGTTGAGACACGGGAGAGTATGTGGCTTGCCCGGCATCACATGGGAGCAAGTGGCAGAGCTAGGATTCTCAGGTCTTCGGTCAGCACGTCTAGAACCATCAAGTGGCAGAGCTAGGATTCTAACTCAGTTCTTTGGTCTGCTCGTCTAGAACCATCTCCACAATCACTTTCCCTCCTAGGTCTTGGCCCTCCTACCAACGCTCTTGCCATCTTCCTTCCTCAAGGTTGTGCTTGAGATTTGTGAGCTGAGTGGGAAAGCTTCCATAGGAGGGAAGCAAGGGGCTCAAGAAGGCAGTGAGGGGGCAGCACCCTCTGGAGGACGGAGCCCCCCCACCCCTTCTATCCGTGCCGCTGAGCACCATCCTCCTCCCGGCCACACTGTGTTGCGTTGGTTAACTCAGCGAAGTCCCTAAGTGACTGGAGTCTCAGAGATCGACCTAAATAAAGAAGAGGGACCCAGTGTGCTGTGTGGACCAGGACTCGCTCCCTGCCACACGGGCTTGGGACCTGAAGTCCCACGACCCAGGGCTGAGGGCTGCTGTGGAGCCAGGTTTCCCACGGCGAGCAAGAGGCCTCTGGGAATCACATCTCTGTGGGAGGGGAAACCGGTGATTATGCTCTCCTCCTTCCCAGGCAGGGAGGATCTGGTGACAATGAGGCTGCACCAAGCCCTGGGGGACCAGTTCCAGGCCAGTCACAGCCCTGTCAGGAGCCAGGGCCGGGTCCGGGAGGGATGTGGGTATCTCAGGGCGCAGCCTACGGCCTGGGAGCCTGGGCTTGAATCCCAGTTCCACCACTTATTAACTATGTGACCTGGTGACATTATTTAACTTCTCCATAACCCTGTTTCCTCATCTGTACGTCAGGGAAGACCATAAGGAGGGTACCTAGCACAGACGGTTGTTGTGAAGGTTACATGCACGGTTAGCACTCAGCAAGAACCAAAAAATGTTAAGTTTGATAAACCAGATTTACATTGGGAAGCTCAAATAAGCAGTCAGCACTCCTACTTGAGACAACTGATCTCAAAAACATTTTCCAAGAACCCCAGGCGGTTGCAATCCGGTTGGAACGGGGCTTGGAGACGTTCATTGCAGGGCCAGTCCACGCGGGCACACGGCAGTCCGTCCTTGCATTTCCAGCTTGTTAGTGCTAAAATTCCCTGGGCCCTTGGAGGATATCCATCCTGCATGCGCTCATGTAGAAACGCCGCTCCGCGAACCTTTCAGCAGGTGTTATAAAGAAGATGTCAGCCTGATGCAGACACATCTGGGGGCGGCAGAGGAGCGGTGTTCATTTTCAAACCTGTCAAACAGCGGCTCCGGGGGCATCCTGAGCGCTGGAGCCGGGGAGGCTCTGCAGGAGGAAGACCGAGCGGCACGCAGGGCCTGGGGCGAGAGCAGAGCTCCGGACTCGTCCTTCCAGGGCCCAGAGAGCCGCCTGCAGCCTGGGGAGCAAAGCTCGCAGCTGGCAGTGTCGGACGGCTCGGAGAAGCGCCCTCGGGGGACCCAGGTCACTCGGCTAGTCGGCTCTAATTCCAAATCTGGGAACATCCGTGGACAGCAGGGAGGACGGCTGCCTCCTCTTCCTTAATTGGCTCTCAAGCTTCCAGGTGGCTGCCCTCTCTCCTCACTTCCCGCGTTCTCCTGCTCTCCCTGCGCCGCACCGCACCCCCCCCCGCCCCCAATAGAGCGTAGCATCGCTGCGCATGCTCAGAGCCGGCCCGGCGGCCGGACTGCAGGGCAGGTAGCGCGCTCAGCTGCTCACTTGTGAATTGGGACTAAAGCGAGCAGCCCCCACACGGGGTTCTGTCCCATAAGCATACAACAAGTGATCCTGACCATCTTCATCATCATCAGGGCGAGGTCAGAGGTCAAGAAAGCCTACTGGAATTTGAATCCCAGCAAGCGATTTGGGCCGTTTAACCCGTAAGACCCATTTTTCTCCTCTGAGCTGGGGTGGTAATAATCACGCACTTATCACAGAGTGGCTTTAGGGACCAAATGAGATCCTCTCAGTACAGCACAGTTCCTCGAGACTGTTAGCTCTTTGAGGAGAGCTGTACGGACGTCCCGGATGGATGACCTTCTTTCTTTGGCCAGTGGGCAGGGGCCTGGTTGGAGCAATCAGCCATGTCCAGCTTAGTAGCAAGAGCAAAGGTATATGAGGAACCGCTGTCTGGGTGCGAATGCAGTTCCTGGTGCTGCAGCCAGGCCCCTCCGCCCCGGGTCACACATCAGTGACCTCCGGGTAATGACTGACTAGCTACGGCGTCGGGAGTTTCACAGAAAAGCCTTTCCCTTTCCTAGCCCTGAGTGCGCCAGGCCCTCCCTGGATGAAAAAAAATATGCTTCGATCCCCTACGCCATGCCCCCCTCCCCCACCTTCAGTACGTTTCTTCCAGCTTCCCAGGAGCAAGCCCCAGCTTGGGCTCCTCTGGGGAAAAACACAGCTTCAGGCCCAAGGATATTTGTGCAGGGAGGAGGTGGAAGGAGTTTCAGGAGCTTGATTCATTACAGCAGCAATCTCCGTCAAACAGGTTCCTGCAACTTCGCGGAGGCCTATTTGTTCCATTGTTCCAGAGAGCCAGACAGGCTTCCCCACAATCCTGGAAGGGGGCAGGTGGGGCGGAGGGAGGAAGCCCGCCGGGGTCTGGCCAGCAGGCTGCTGCTGCTGGCAGTTTCATCTCTGTTCACACAACACCAGGGATCCGACTCTGATTATAGCTTGTAAACCCTGGGCAATTGGCTTCCTTCGCTATTTTCGCCTGCAGGGGCAGAGGGGTGGCCAGAAACTGCTGGAACCATACTGGCATTTTTTTCAGACAAAGACTAGATATCCTTGAAGAGTTCTGCCAACTCTGCAAGTCAATGATGGGAAAACTGAGACCTCAGTGAGCGTTCAAAAACCTTAATAAAAACAAAGGGGAAGGAAACCCTCAGATACTTTGGAGCATCAGTTTGGTTTTGATACAATGGAACATTGTTTGGCCCTAAAAAGGAGTGAATTACGGATACACAGTACATAGTGGATGAACCTTGAACACAGTATGCGCAGTGAGAGGGGCTAGGCACAAAACGCCACAGATTACATAATTCCATCCGCATGAAATATCCCCATTAATCAAATCCATAGAGATAGAAAGTAGATTAGTGGTTGCCAGGGACTGGGGGAGGGGGGGGAATAGGTGTGACTGCCAACGGGCATGGGGTTACTTCTGAGGTGACGAATATGGCCTACAGTTAGTGCACAACTGTGTGAATATACTAAAATTACCACCGAATCGCACACTTTAGAAAGGCGAATACTGTCATGTGTGGATTATGTCTCAAGTTTAAAAACTGTATGATAACAGCATTTAGGCTTCTGTCTGTAAGAACTATGGAGGCTGATAATGTATTAACAACAACAAAAAAACGGGCATGGTGGCCAAGTGTTGGGGCTCAGTCTTGGTCAGTCATCCCCTCATCTGATCGCCTCCTGACAGCCGTTTTTTGAGTACCTACTATGTGTCAAGGCGCTGTGCAAGAACCAGGTATGTATTGATGACCAAGGCAACCTGGGGCTCCTTCATGACCTATCCTTCACTCCTTGTGCCCTCTTGGGAAGTTTGCTCAACTTCTTGAAGCTTCCTCGTCTGTCCCTATGAGTGTACAACACGTCTCAGGCCAATACCACAGTTCTGCTGTACCTGGGGCAGTGGTTCCTAAGCCTGACGGTGCCTTAACACTTGCCTCCGAGCTCCGTGAAATTACAGGTTTCTGAAGGGCCTGTTATACTCAGCTCCAGGCGGCTTTGGTGCTTGTGGTTCTCTGTGCTTTCAGGTTTGGAGACCCTTGCCCAGGCACCTCATGGCCCAAGGCCTGGCTGCTGAGCCATCCTAAGTGCAGTTCCTTGCCCTCTATGTGTGCAGTCTGGATCATGCCACGTCTCCCCAATACACACCTCAGAATGCCCACTTACGCTTTCCCTTTGGGGACTCTTTATGTCACACAGCATTGCCAAAGGGACCTAGCATTTTACGGCCAGAAATATTTGATTTTTTCCCCTGCACTTCCCTCTCTACTGATGCTAAAAAGAGTGCGGCCAGGAAAAAGTCGTCCAGGTTCCAAAATAAAACAAAGCTACTCATCCATTTATAGGGTCATTTTGCACTTCAGAAATGAACTGCTAGTTTTGTCCAGGTCTCACTATTTGAGGGAGTATTTGCTATTAAGTTTCCCAAGCACAGACCGTATTTTACAAACCAAAGCATACATTGGTTGTAATTGTAATGGAGGATTGTTATTTATATAGGCTAGATCACAATATGGTTAAATAAACTTTTAATGTGGACAAAAGTTCTCTCTCTCTATCTCTCTCTTACACACACACACACACCCTGCAAAGCTAGGATGTTTTTATATTCTCCCCAGTACTCAGTGCTTCCTCCTACTTTGGACAGCTAAGCAGACTAGAACGAGGTTCTGATCCATCGGCATCTCTTCCGCCTGTGCACAACTGACAAGGGATTCGTGCCTAACTGGCGACCACCAGGGGGTGCCCAATGTCTTGCAGTGGCCTTGCAGACAGGAAGTGAGGCAAGAGCAAGGGAATGAGGGCTGGCAAAGGGGAGAAATCAGATCTTGTGTCAAGGGACAGATTGGGGGTTTCCTACCTGGGTCACTCCTCTCTGCAAAGGCCACAATGTGGATCCCGTTCAAATCATCTTCCTGGAGGAGAGAAGAATCCAGAGGTTACGCTCCCAGGTGGAGAGATAGAAAGGAACAAGTCAGGGACAGACACAGAGGCTGGCAAGGAAATGGGCAGCGGGGAGGCGGCAGAGGGGCAGTGCACACAGCGGGCAGGGGAACAGAGGGGTGCGCAGTAAGGAAGGAAATATTGATGAGCAACTGGGAGAAATGCGTGCTGTTTGACACGTGGGTTTGCAAGACAGGAAAACACCCACTACACACAAGACATCAGCACCGAATGGGCCTCACTCCCGTGGGCTGTGGGGTCCAGGAGAGCAGCAGTAAAAGGCAAAAGGAAGAAGAACATGAGCCTGGTGCATCAGGAGCTCCGAGGGCAACAATCACTCTGAATATAGCTCAATAAACGCAATTGGCAGTCTGTGTTTCGAGAATTCACCACCAGCAACCAGCCATCAGGGGAACTTCTGAATGCTGTCAACGGATCCTGAAACTGTCCCCAGACTGGCAGCAGACAGGAATCTTCTAGGTAAATTAGAACGTGGGTCTGTTCTGTTCACACAAGAATCGTATACAAGCATAGGGCTTCTCCGTGAACACACCTCCTACTGAAGAACCTGTGTAGTCAGTAAGGGGCACCTTGCTGACTGTGACTTCCAGGGTCCTTCCTTGGGGTCCTTTCTGCTAGGGTCCAAGCCTTGCTGAAGGCCTCTAACGCATTTCTGTGAGTGTGAGAGGCTATGGGAAGAGTGGATTTGGGGGCTAGGGAAAGTTGAGGGTGGACAACCTGTGGGTGATGGGGACAAGTGGGTGTGGCTATGGAGGCCGGGGGCAAGGCCAAGAATCTGGAGAGTATTTCACATCTCAGCGCAAGCAAACGGCATCGCATGGTTCTATGTCCTGGACAGAAAGGACCATACACCTGTGTCTCCTTTGCATCAATTTATCCCGCAGAAGGAAGAGCAGGAGCTTTGGAGGAGGCTCTGTTATAGGCAAATGTGATTCCCCCCAAAAAAAAACGTGGAGAGGAAGATGCGTAAGAATCAGGTACCAGGGACAAATCTGAATGACTACTGATTATCGCTGACACAGGGAAAGGGAGTCACCGGGTACCCTGGATGTCATATCAGAATCATCCTATGGAAAAAAACTCCAGGCGTCTCAACCTTCCCATGATCCCTGTTTCCATTTCAATTGATTTTAATGCTGGTACAGTCCTATCTAAATGCTAATTTTTCCCCTTTGAGTTTGGAATGGACACAACCTCCAAAAATTCTGAGATTAAATGGAAAATATTATTATTAAAAACAAGAGAGTGGGCACAGGTTTGGTCAGATGCTCTGGGGAATTGAATTTTACAGATATATATGTGTGTGCGCAGGTTTATCACACAAATCCGACAGCAACCAGAAGGGGAGTCTGAGGTTTCACTGTTTTACATTTGCTATTATCACCAAACAGAATATCCTGATCAGTTCTCATTAGGCTGCCCCGTGTCTCTGTCTCCTGCCATCAGCTGGAAGTGTGCAGTGTTAACTCTGTGAAACAGGCTTCATTTCTGTGTGCCCTTCTAGGACGCCTTTGGAAATTGGTTTTGGAATTAAGAATCCATATTTGTTTGCTAAGAGGCTGCTCATAATGTGGCTGTCACTCCCCAGGCCCAAGATGGTGCCTGGATGGAGGGCTGTAATCAAGGCAAAGGGCCCCTCTCTTTGTGGGGATCAGCACACAAACCTGTACTGAACACTTGCAAAGGAGCAGGTGCATGCTTGGTGCCAGGTATTTCCAGTGATAAACTCACAGAGCAAGAATCCATGGGCAAGGGTTACTCACTGAGAATCCAATGTGCACGGGTGAGGAAGAGCCAAGCTGACCATACGTGGGACTGAGACCACCCGGGGGCTTTCTCTGAACCCCACAACCTTTGCTCCAGATCACCCATTCGGTCTTTGGATCACATTGCCTTGGAAACTATCTTTTTAATAGCACGAATCCTTCCTTCTCAACCAGATGGCAAGCTCTCTGAGGGAAAGGATTATGCCTTAAAATAACAACGATGATTACAAAGGCCACAATAGTATCTGCCCCCTGCCATTCTTTGTATCAGTACTTTGTAAGTACATTATTTCTAAATCTCAAATGAAAGTCTTATTCCTATTTAGTGCTTAAAGAATTGAAGTGACTTACCTAACGCCAGAGAACTAGTAAGTGACATAACTGGGATTCAAGCCCGTTCTGTCTGGCCCCACGTGCTTTTTATTTGTCACTGAAGAGTTCCAGAATAAGCCACTGTGGCATAAAAATTATTTTGAGCTGAAAGCATCTGAATCCCTGAATGCCTTATCTACCAAACAGAAAGTCCCAAAAGAACTCAACTGTCATAAACCCACCCCCAAGAGCAGCTCTAATTTCTCTTCTCAGACAGACATTTTCACGGCACTAGCAAATCTCCCATCTATTCCCCAAGGGCCCATTTCTCTTTCCAAAGAAGTCATTTGTTTTTCCATAAGACCCCTTTCTCCTCAACCTTCTAACAAGTCATTTGTTTTCCCAAAAGTGCCTCCTGCCTCTCCCATTTCCAATTAAGATGGTATATAAGCCCCTTCTTGAGTCACATTTCCTTGTAAACTCCCTTGCATAAATAGGTCATTAAATTTGTTCTTTGCCCATGCTAATCTGTATTTTGTTAGTTTAATTTGCAGCCCTTCAATACTGAACCTAAGAGGGTAGAAGAAACAATTTTCCTCCTTGATATCACCCATAGCAACAGAATGAATCTGTTGTCCCCTGCAGGGTTTGTAGATATTTCAAACTCAGATTAATGACTCTTAAGTTAAAGGAGGCCGATGAGGGGTCTTTATGTAAAGTGACTGAGCCCCAGATCGCCCAAAGAACTGGAGACTTAGGAATTACTTTGGCGAACACCCTACTCTGAATTCTCTTTCACTTTGTATGTCCATCTGTCATAGTATAAGCATACTGGAGTGGCGTTATATGTTTTGAGACTTGTTTCATTTTCTCAACCCTGAACTCCTCAGGACACAACAGCAATGTTCATTTTTATAACCCCCATGCTTAGCACAAAGTAATAGGTTCTTATTAATGCACACTGACTTAAAAAAAAGAATATGGTGATAAAAATCTTACACACTAGTTGAAGGAAATAGAAAATATGAGAAATGCCAAAAAGAAACCACACATCAGTTACCCACCAACCAGATATATTACCACTGTTCCTGTTTTGCTCTGTTTCCTTCCAGGTTCTGTTGAATGTTTGTTCTCTTGAATGAAGTGATGCAAAGAAAAAAACATGCACTTAAAACTGCAGACTCCCTGGTGCGATGGAATGTTCCAGGGGCTTATCTGGGGGCTTCTGGCCCCCTTTTGGAAGTACTATTTTGTTATTACCACAGAAGAGAGGGTTCTTCCTGAAGGAACTGCTGACTCCCATCCCCATGGGCTTTTGCCCAGGACTCTGACCACCTGCCAGGATGGAGAGCTGGTTGGAAGGTAGTGTATCGAAGGGGAAGGACAGGTCAGCACTCAGTTCATATCACCTTGCCCCACCTTGACATTCTTTGAATATTCTAAATGAGCAAGTAGCTATTCAGTTTACACATAGCAAGTATTGCTAACCACCAATTTCTTTAGTAATAATCAAGTATGTGTTTTTTTATGGTTTGCTGCTTTAAAATCCCACACAACTGGGGAAAGAGAAAGGTCAATAGTTGCTTTAGCTCAACTTAGTTTTCCTATCTAAATATTTTGCTGTGTCTGGGGAAGTGGGTGTTGAAGATAAAGACTTCCCAGTTCATAACTGGTCACTTTCCCCAGCTTCTGTGGTTTAATTTGCTGCAGCCAAGTGGTCCATGGAGATGCTGCTCTTTGGAGCAATGCTTTCCTAGGTGGCAAAGGTAGATGGGGAAGGCACATGGGAAGTGGCTCCCCAGAGATCCCTCTGACAGATTGATTTCTGCTTCTCCTTTTTGAGGATGGAAAGATGCTCCTGTCTTCCCTCCCTCACTGGAGACTTGGGACGGGTTAGGTCTGGTTACAGCTTCTGGGGAAGTCACATGGGTATTCCAGGATGGTGTCCAGGAAAGAATTAAACCAGTCTAGTTGCCCTTTTCTCTACCAGGTTAAATTTAATACACAGCCCTTTCCTGATTAGAAAACCATTGAATATATAGTAACGTGGAAAATATGAGCCATCATTGTTATATTATAGCAAAAGGCTATAACTTCTTTTTTTCTGTAAGTGAAAAGAAAGCAGAAAATGAGTTCCAGTGCATCCAGAGAGTGAACTTTCTTTCTGAACATCTGCCTGTGATATATGAGAAGGAGCATTTCTACTGGGCAGTGTGGGGGGCTAGGGGTGTTTGTGGTCCGGGGGAGGGGGCAGGACATAGGCTCTCCCACCATGGCATATTGTGTCTCGGATGTGATATTGCTGTGTCAATAAGAAAAGGCCTGAAGGAAGGGCCTCTCTTAGGGATGAAGAAATAAAAAGAACTAAGAAACAGAGGCATAGAACAGAACAGTGACAATCACTCTCAATTTAAAATGGTACCCTGTGTCATGAAAGACAAAGAAAGACCAAGAACTTATCCCAGATTAAAGGCTACAGAAGCATAACAACGAACAACAAGTGTGAGATCCAAGATCAGATCCTGGGCCAGGAAAAAAATTCTGTGTGTGTGCACAAAGAGAAGAGAACTCTCCCTGGGGCTCCCGCCGGCTTCTCCGGGATCAGTTGCATTACTGCACTGGATGCCTCGCGGCGCCCATCTCCGCCACATGTTTGTTTGTTTGTTTGGCAGAAATTATTTTAATAAGCAATTTTGTGACACTTAGTGTCTGAACAACAGTACTTCGTTCACCAGGTAGACAAAGTTCTACATTGAGCAGGAAAATGACCCCTTGCCCACTTTCCCCTGGAATGCAGCAGAGTCCTGGCATTAGTGGGACACTGGTCAATTTTAATAAGGTCCATAGATGAAATCAAGTTATACTAATTTCCTGATTTTGATAAGTATACTGTGGTTATGAGAGACGTGCCCTGTTTTTAGAAAACATCTGAAGTATACAGGGGTAAGGGGAGTTGTGTCTGCTACTTACTCTCAAATAATTCAGGGGAAAAAAATGTTTATATCCATTATCTGTCAAGAGGTTTGTGATCACGCAAAGAAGGTAAAATGTTAACATTTGGGGAATCTGGTAAAAAGATCATGGAATTCTTTACATTATTTTTTGTAAGTCTGAAATTAAGTAAAAGTAAAGATATTTTTTAAAGGAATATTATTTTTAAAGCACTGCTACACTCTTTTTAAATATAGTAACAAGACCTTTTAAAGATTAAATTTTTGAAAGGTTTCAATGTTAGGAAAATATGTTGCCATTGTACTGGGTTGTTCTTCAAAAGTCCAATCCTCCAGACTGGATTACTTGCTCTTCAGTGTCTTATGAAAGGTTTGTTCTGCCTTCGGACATACAAATAAGTTACCAGCCAGTAAGACATCAAGTGTTAGGTTACTTCATGTTCATCTGTCATTTTAGACTCTGAATCAAAGAATAAATAAATAAATGCTTCCATGTTAATTCCTTTCTTCCCTCTCCCAGCCCTTGACAAAATGACGCCTTATGGGGATATGGCTTACTCTGGGGAACTATACTGAAGAGAATATGAGATTTGGCTCCAAATGATCTAAATGTAAGTCCCAAGATCAAATGCTTATTAGTTATGTATCCCTGAGTAATTAACTTAATCTGTATGATCACCAGTTTCCCCATGTAAAATGAGGTTAAATAATACTTGTTCTACATCACTTTTTAGAACTCTTGAAACATCCAGGTTAAAAGGATACATGAAATGCTTTGAAAAATGCTCCACAGACTTTGGTTGTTATTGGTTATGGAATTTTGTATAAACCTGACATGGGATGGGAGGTTGTATCTCCATGGCCCTCTTTCTATACAATTTGACCTGCCTGACACATTGTCTATGGCGTAGATCTAGGGGATAATCTCAGCGCCTTCCACGGCCTTGAGTTGCTATTTATGAAAATAGCTACCATTGACTGACCAAACACCTACCAGGTTCTGGGCTCTTCGCAGCCACTCATCCTAACAAAAAACCCTGATTTGAGAAGCAGAAACTAACTAAAGCTCAGAAAGATGACATGATTTGATACAGGATGCAGAGCTACTAGGTAACAGATTCTGGATGTGAACCCAAGTCTCTATGACTCCACAGCCTCAGCTCCTTCCATTATGTTACCCTGGGTCTCTGGTAGTCAGTGAACAAAAGCCAGTAGTCACTGTGGGGAATGAACTCAAAGATGGAGTAATTTTGCCTTAGGGGTAGTACCAAAGAGGCTTAAATAAAATCCATGGAGAACTGGGCTTTAATTGAGCATGACGTTGTCCACGTTTCAAATACTCCACCATCTAGACATCCACTCCAGCAAAATAAAATGTGGTTTAAGTTTGGGGACTCAAAGGGATACTCCTCTTGGGCAATATACTGGTGTCTACAAGGCAGAAAGAATTTGCCATTTCTTACCCATGTTTCAAACATATCTTCAGGACGCAGGCGACGTAGAGTGGGTCTGAAAAACACAAAGATGAGCTTCCTTGAGTAGCGATTACCAAGGCAGACACTGCAGGCTCAGCATAGCAAAATGTAAAATGAGATTCTGGTTCATTTGCAAGGGCATAAAGAGCTCTCGAAATCTCCCCTAAGTAGATGGAACTGTTCTACTCTGTTGCATCATACAGGGAGCTGGGCTTGAAGCTCCCAACCTTTTCACAGACCCATTTGATCCAAGGATTATACAAAGCTTATTAGAGGGGCTCCTGGGTGACTCAGTCAGTTAGGCATCCAACTCTTGAGCTCAGCTCACGTCTTGATCTCACAGTCATGAGTTCAAGCCCTGTGTTGGGCTCCACATTAAGTGTGGAGCCAAATAAATAAATAAATAAATAAATAAATAAACAAACAAAGTCTATTATAACCAATGGGTCAGAGGGTGCAGGGTCAGCTCATTCCTGGGGCAAGAAGCCATTGCCTTCCTCATAGACAGGGGCCATTCCTGAGAGCCCAGAGCAAGGCCCAGACCGAGGACATCTGGGAAACAGAAGTCGTGGTTTTCCCAGCCCAAGACTGCATTGTCTTATCGTCAGGATCATCATTCAAAAGCTCTTTAGGGATGTTTGGAGGAACAGGTAAAATTATATTTTCTCATGGTTTTTTCTTTCTGAATGTTGGCAAATTGTGTTAGACACATTGAGATTTGCTTCTCCAAATGCTGCCTCCCTATGGGGACTGGGACAACCAGGTGATGGAATCATAGTGCTCCAGGTTCAGTGGACGTATGTGAGCATGTGTTGGAGAGGGTGGATGGCGTGGCGAGGTGGTAAGCCCACTACCATGTTCCATGTTTCAATATCGTCCCTCTGTCAAGAGCAGGGGTCAGCCAACCACAGCTGGTGGGCCAAATCCAGCCAGTGCCTCCTGTGTTTATAAATAAGTTTTTATTGAGATACAGTCACACCCATTTGTTTACATACTGTCTATAGCTGCTTTCACACTACAACAGCAGAGCTGAGTATTGCAACAGAAACCATCTGGCCCACAGAACCTGAAATATTTATTCTCTGGCCTTTTACGGAAAAAGTTTGCTGATCCATGCTAGAGCTACTCTAAGTGGTATCAAATATTCCTCTCCCAGAAGTTCTATGTATAAAAACGTTCATCCATGGCTAAATTATTTAACTACTCTGAGCCCAGTTCCTTGATCTTTAACATTGGGATAATAATAATGCTCCATAATGTTGAATATTAGATAAAATAGGTTCCATAAGCACTTGGCATGGCATTTGGCATATAAGAGGTTGGCAGTAAATCCCTGTTGTTATTATTGTAGAATTTGACCTGTAACTTACTCTGACTTGGAGGGGATTTGCTGATGGCGGGCACTTGGTCTACCTTGTTTGCCAGTGTAAACCTATATTCAGAAAAAGTAGCGATATCCCTGCCCAACTGATCAATGACCAACAAAGCCATACTACTGATTTCAGTTCTGCTGGGGTAGTAACTCCAGGTTGTTGCTCTTGGGAGACCTAAAAATGTTAGGACTGCGAGGTTCTTCTCCATCCCCCAGACCCTGGACCACATCCCCTCACCCACCCACCAACCCCTGAGTGCCATGTGGGGCACCTTTGGTGCTCTTTCACAAACTCCACGATCTCCTCTTCTGTGTAAGGTTTGTCAGGGATGGCAATGGACTCATCCATAAATGGCTCATAGAAGTCAACCTCATTCATCTTCAAGGACAATTTCTTTGCAACCTGTAACAATTAGAAATACGAAAATAGTTTCCTTGAATGCTAGTCTAGAGTAGCAATGGGTTGCCCATCTATAAGGAGTGTGTGTGTTTTCTGGCAAAGATATGACAGTATACCTACAGTTTTAACTTAAATGTTGAAGTGGTAGAAACTCATTGCCTAAGCCCTAGTTCGACCAATCAAAGAAGGACAGATAGGAAGGAAAAACCCTCTCTGGCAAATGAGGTCCAAGCAGGAGCGGAGAGCAGTAGGAATGAAAAGGGTGAACTCTAATTGTACAATCATCATCACTCCATTATATGTGCCAGGGCTGGAGAAAGAAGGAAATGTCAGCAGAGCAAGCTCAGTGTTCTGAGATGCATGGATTTAATTGAACCAATTTTGATAGCACCGGCAGTTGACAGAAACCATTTACAGCATACCAGTACTCAAAATCAGAGGTCAACCCATTAATCTGTCCTCGATCAGCTCCTAACCCCTACTTGTGATTTAGGTTGAAGCAGGGTTATCTCTCAGTTCTGGCTTGTCTGATGATTTCTCAGACTCTGGGAACTGTCTGCTTTGTTACCAGCCAGAAGGTGACCAACATCCTGCTTTTTCCAGAGCGGAGGGGTTTCGCAGGGTTCAGACTCTTAGTGCTAGAATAGGATAGTCCCCAGCAAGCCAGGATGAGTGGCTCACCCTCTACCAGATAAAAAGCTCGGGGAGCCAGCTTGCAGCCTGGAAGACGTCTGCTCTCTTGATTAAAGTGGCCACATAGTTTGCTGTTGGGGCAGAATGGGTGCTGTGTTTGCCTGCAGGGCTGCTGAGCTCAAGCCTCTTTTTGTGAAATGATTTGAGAGGCTTGGAATGTGCAACGCTTTGTAGAAAACCAAATGCCATTCTTTTCGTGTTTGAGCTGTGGTCCAAGAAAGCACAGGGATGAACAGTGGTTCCCTTGAAACTAAAGAAGAATTGCCTAAGAGCTGACACCCTGCGGTGGTAACCAACGGTGTGGAGGCCCAGGGCAGCCGTGACTAATTGGGGAGGGGGAGGAACGGGGTATTACATAAGCCGTTACACAAGGAAGGCCATTCTGAGCAAACACTGGTGTCCCTATGGCTTTTGTCATCAGTTGCTATTAATTCCAGGTCACTATATTCCAAAAGACATTTCTTACAGTACTTCAGGGAAAGAAACTCCAGCATCCTATCCGGAGCTAAAGAAAACAGGCCATGTTTTGAGCTACAGTCAGTCAGAAGAGATTTATGGTCATGTTGATTTGGTTTTGAGGGACAGAGAACTGTGGCGTCTTTTCTTACTTTCCCCCCCTCTTTGACAGCGTGCGGGTGGGGAGCCTGGGAAGGAACCAGACACCATACAACCAGTGTCTGGGTTTTTACGTCGTTCTTCACAAAGCCAGGCCCATCAGAGAATGGGCTTACAATGACACTGGATTCTGGGTTTCTGACCTCACTGACTACATATTTTAGGAACCAGAAAACTGTGCTTAAAGGAAGTGGGGAGTGACCTGATGAAGGAAACCAGTAATAGGAGTAAGCACACGGAGTGCTCACTCTGTGTCGGGCTCGAGTGCAATTGATCACTTTATGCATCCTCACTTGGCTTGCTGTAAGAACCATTATTATTACTTATTTTACAGATAATGAACCAAAGGCCCAGTCTGTGTATGCAGTTTGTCAAGATCTCATATGTGGAGGGGATAGAGTCAGAATTGAAACCCAGGCAGTGGAGTGTTCTAAACTATCACCTTGAATAGCGATCTCTTTTCACTCTCAACTTCCGAAGTGTGTGTGTGTGTGTGTGTGTGTGTGTGTGTGTGTGTGTGTGGTCCCTGAATGCCAGTGCCTGGGTCTCCAATGTTAAGACCACAAATGTAAAGCTGGATTGTGATATTCTTAAGTTGAAGTCCTGGGAAACCCCTCCAAAAATTTCCAGAGACCTATTCACTATATTCCCACCACCATCATGGAGTGCCCTCGGCCTATATCCCAGAAAAGCCCTTTCTTTCATTTTTCTCAGCTGTATCTTGGCCAGTCAGCATGCCCTCCTTAGCCCTCTGACTCTCTGGTTCCATTTGATTCAGAGATGTTGTGGCTTGGTTTAGGACCAGGATGCACATAGATCAGTGCTGGTCCCAAACCTACGGGCCAGGTAAAACTCCCCAGGGACTCCTCTGGAAATGCGTGTTTCTGGGCCTGGTCACAACATAAAGAAACACAAATTTCATCTTAGATGTGGGGCCCAGGAATCCATGATTTTAAAAGCTCTTTGGGGGATACCACTATGGACAATGGTTCAGCAGCCCCGACATCTCAGTGTCTTTATGGTTCTCTAACTCATATATCAAATATAACATATTTATTGGTTTCTTTACTTAACTCTCTGTCTTCCAATCTTCTCCTTACCCCTCCCCCACTGCACTAAACTCTAAATCCCACAGGGGCAGGGATCTGTTTTGCTCCATGTTGCATCTCTGGCATCTAAAAGAGCTTCTGGCACACAAAAGGCACTTAGTAAATATTCTCTGAATGAGCAAATGAATAAATAAATGAAAGATACTTCTGTCGTATGTCTTCCCTACTTGTAGAAAGAGAACTCATAAACCCAATCTTGTGTTCCTCAGTAGATTCTTTTCCTAGATTCCCTAATGTTTTCAGGAGCTTCACAATCTTTGCTGTCTGGAAGAGGAGACTTACAATCTTGTTATTTTTGAGTCTTCTCTTGGCTTTCTCTCCTTCACCTCAACAGTGACCAAGTCTTCTTGTCATCTCCATGTCTGCCAGTTGAGTTTTCATCTTTGGACTGTATTAGTGCCTCCTTGGCCCTGGCCTCTCCTGACTTCACACCTCTACAAGGCACCTCCCCTACCCCTTGTCCCTCTGGGCTTCCCTCAGTCTCAAGGAAAGATTCTTCCAACTCCCTCTTCTGCACCAGCGCCCCCTGCTGGACACCACTGAGGCTTCCTTGGACTCTGGCTCCCCCCTCCCCCACAACTGACCGGTGCAACTTTTCAAGTCCCAAATGGCATTGAGTCCTCTAAGTGTGACTGCTCTTCTTTCTGTGTTCCATGTAGAGCTAGAGAGTGTGTCTTTCTCCTTTTAACTGTTATAAAATCCCACAAGGGGCACTTATGACTCAGTGTCTTACAGAGTTTGGAGTGAAGAGGCTTCTGAGTTTTTAATTATAGCCTGACCTCACCTTCTTCACGGGCCACAAACACGAAGACATATGGTTGGGCTGGAAGGCACGTCTGAAAACAGATACCACCCTGAACTCAGCACTGGGCCACCTTCGAAGAACTGAGGCGTTGTTGCTTGGCCAAGCCTGTCTGCCTGGTTGTGTTCTCTCAGATGAGTTCTTAACACCCAGGAGCCACCTCAGTCACTGCTGGCCCGTCATAATGGAACGTCAGTGATGTATTCAGCTTAGGATTCCCTGGTACCTCCCCTTCTCTACTAAAGTTCTCACCCAACCTCCACTCTCCTGGGCTTAGATGGCTGCCTTTTATGCACAACAGGACTAGCTAACATTTACTGAATGCGCACCATATCCCAGGCTCCAGCTAAGAGCTTCACGTGTATTGTTTCTTTCTCTGGTGTACAGTAGTATAGAGCACTGACCTGAGATTATATATTAAGCTTCACTATTCACTCACTATATGACCATGGGTAAATCACTTAATCTCTTGGTGCCTTGGTTTCATTCTCTGTAGATTAAGAATACCAATTCCTCCTTTACAGGCACATTGAGATGATTGAAAGAGCTATGTAAAGCTCTCAGCACAAAGCATAGCATGTAAAAAGTACTTAATAAGTGATAGTTATTATTGCTTTTGGTATTCTTGCTCAAGATCTCTCTTGACTCTAATCCAACCAATTAAGGTAAATTTTCTTCAAGTTTAGATTATATTACTCAGATTATAGACTCTCTTCTGGATTATTTTCAATCCAGAGTTTTTAGACCAGGGCCATATCCATAGAGGTGGTTTAATGTACATATGTACAAGGATGGAATACAGTCTCTTTTTGTTGTACTCCTTCCCTGCTCCAGCACCTACAGGCTTCCTTTTGTTTTTCACAGAATACTTGAACTCCCCATGGTAAAAAGGCCCATGAGCCCTGCTCTCCAACTGCCTTACTCCTCAGTAGGTCACCCCTTGATGAACTTTTACTTGAATGTAATCAGGATTTAGTTTTTCCTAGACTTATTTGTTCTAGTAAATATGGTGACTGAAGGTTTTTAGTTGGGGTGTGTGTGTGTGTGTGAGAGAGAGAGAGAGAGAGCTAGAGAGAGTCTTATGTGTGCAGGTGTGGATATGAGTGTGAATGAGTGTGTACTGAGTGTCATATAAGTGTGGGTGTGGGTTTGAGTGTGAGTGTGTGTGAGGAGATGTGTGTTATGTGTGTGTCCTGTTTGTTATGTGCTTGTGTTTGTCATTTGTGTTGTATGTGTGGTGGGTGTTTTACATGTGTGTTGTGTATGCGTTTTTTGTGTGTTATTTGTGTCTCCTATGTGAATGTGGGTGTATGGGGATGTATGACTTGTCATAATGGAACGTCAGTGATGTATTCAGCTTAGGCTTGCCTGTACCTCCCCTTCTCTACTAAAGTTCTCACCCAACCTCCATTCTCCTGGTCTTAGATGGCTACAAACTGAATATCTCAAGGGCAGGTACAGAGTCTTCTACTTAAGTGTGTGGTACCAAGGAAGGGGCATAAATGTGGGGCATAGACTGGGATCTCAGCACTACCATTAATTCACTGGAGACCTTGGATATTACTTAATCTTTATAAATCTATTTTGTCATATGGGACATGTGACTTCTTAGCTCCCAAATTTGTTTAAAGGATTAGAGGTCATATACATACAATGTTTCAATTTGTACCCAACACACAGAAAGCACTCGGTAAATAGTAGCCATTTTAGTGGTAACTGGAATTAGAGTGGAGTACTCCACCCACAGTGAACCCAAATAAATTACCCATTGATTCAAGGCCCTTCATATATGATGTTCTTTGGCTTACAAAAGCACGTGCCACATCCAGAAAGAAAGAAAAATTGAATTGCAGATGAGTACATTAATGACATCTCTTGAAGATAATAGGTAACACACAGATGCACTCCAGGCATCAGATGACCAAGGATCCTCCCCATTCCATCCCCCATCCTAACCCAACAGAGGGGGAAGTATGCGCCCCTGGGAAGGGAGAGAATAGCTCTAAAGACAAGGAAGCACACACCAGTGTCCTGGCACACTCTTCTCATACACACCCATTCTTAGTGTTCAAGGTGGTTAAAAGTGGTTCATCATTTTTCATTAGCTGTTTTCAGAAATGTGCTTACTTCCTCTGAATTAATCATCTTTGTATTCATCTCCCATTCAAAAGTGGCTTATTGCTGTGTTTCTAGCATTTCTGGAGAAAATGTTAAGGGATGGAAGATGGAAAATGTTTCTAAAAGTTAAAAAAGTACTGGAAAGTTCAAATTTTAACGCTTTGTGCCTACAAAAGTATTCAAATTGGGGTTTCATAGATACTTACCCCTTTGTCAAAGGTAGCAAAAAATTTGATGTAAGGTTGGAAGTGTTCAGCTGCCTCTTCAAAAGCCTTGTAATCTGAGAGGAAAAAATAGATCGAAGAAAGAGAACTTTTTAAGATGCACGCTAAAGACATTTTTATTTTTAAATAATGTAGAGAGAGTGGGGAGCCAATTAATCCTGACTGGATAATTATTTAGTAGATATTGTTTAGATAGAAAATTATTTAGTGCTATTTAAACCCACAGTTTCCCCCAAGGAGTTTGAATTGACTGGTATTCAACGGAGCTAGAGAAGAACACTTTACCACAGTTTTATGTGTTTTCAGAAATTGGTAGATGGGAAGGAGAAAGTGAAGGAAACTGAGAGAGGGAGAAAAATAGAATATTAGACTCTAAATCCAAGGAAAAACTTACTCCACTCAGACTCACCATTAGTTGTAAGTGTGTTAGCACAGCTTCCTATAAATGACCACTAAGTGAGAAGGAAATTCACCTTACTATGTAAAGCAAACTCAATCAAAAATGATATCATAAAAGTACTTTAAACTTCTTAGCAGAAGTCCCCCTTTTGGTAAACCCTCATTTTTCTTTCCCTCTTTTTAAGTTTTCATTTTTATTCTCATTCCTTAAGAAGATGATTTAAAATTAATCAAGCCTATGCTTGACACTGGTCCCAAACCTGAATCCAAACTGGTCAAGTTAAGCATGAGACATATGAGCATGGCCATGCTGTGCCTTACCACATCTTGCCAACTACCTGGTGAAAACACTGGTATTTAAGCCTTAGAGGTGAGGTGATGGGAATGGGGATGGTGGTGATGGTGGTGGTAGTGGCGGTGGTTCTGCATAACATCTATAATCCTTAAAGTTGGTGATCATTGGATTCATTCTTAAGAAGATTAACCTTTTCCCATTTTATGGAGTTCCCTATCTCTTAATCATTAGAGGCATAAGCTTTTGCTAGAGTGCCAGGAGCATGCAGAATTTTCTAATATTCAATCAAAAACATTTCAAGACTAATACTGGCTCAGAGGACACCAACATGAGTAAGACAAAGACACTGATCTCAAAGGCACACAACCCAGAGGATGGTATGGACCCTTAGAGAACCACAATATAATGTGATAGTTGCTAGAATAGAGGTAATTACAATAAACATAGATGAGAGGGGGTTGAAAAATTTACAAGAATGCCTGTACATACCGATACACATTCACACAAACTTATCCCCATAAAAGTAATTGAGTAATCAGAAAATATATCAGATAGCCTGAGAGTTGAGGTAGACAACTGGATAGATGGGGCAGATGATGAGTGAGAGGTTTCGAATGAATAGAGAGAAGGTGGGAGAGAATGGAAGGGTTAACCATACCTGAGTCATTTAGGTCTAGCTAAAGCTCCAGAGGGCTCCAGCTGAATCCTCTGTATCCTCTCTCCCTGACCCACTTGTCCCTGATGAATCTCTCCCCACCTCCTTGAACTCCTCCCCTGCTGGAAAGGATGGCCTACACCTGTGTCCAGAGAATTCCCTTCTTCACCTAAGGAACAAATCTGTATCCCTTTTAAGGTGAAAATGGGTAGAGCAAGGTGATCCCCCAGGGTGGTGCTTCAAACTGTGGTTGAGCCTTTAGTGGTTGCCCAAACAGTGGTTGTCTTCTAGGGTACCTGGTCTAATCTCCTGCTCTGTTTGATCTCGTGTGATCCCAGGTTTTTCCTACCCTCACATCCTGTGCTGATGCTGACCAGCTCCCTCTTGGCTCTTCCAGTCTGACCCTCAGTTTCTCCCTTCTGGAATAGGTTCCTGAACATTCAACCTTCGACCTCCAGCTTACTGCAGACTGCATTTCCTCACCTTTCTTCCCATCTCTCAGGGTTTTCCATACTGGATACTGGCCCTCCACCTCCAGATTTCCCCCAGTTTGGCATTCTTACCTATCAGCTGAGTTCCTGCAGGAAGTTCCTGTCACCCTCTCTCAACACTAGCTCCATAGCTACGTGCTCAAGCTGGATGTGAACCTTCATACCCAACTTCCTTGGAAGATGTAGCCCCCCAGTTCTTCCAAGTCTTTTCTAATTTGATCCCAAATCTCTTAGGAGCCTTTTCTCCCAAACCAATCCAGCCTACCTATGAGTTCAAGGCCTCCAATTCTCCACTATCCTTCCATTGTTCTTGCTCTACAGGATAGCTTGGGATCATTTCGCAAAGCCAATGCCTCTGTACCTTTAAACTTCCTTAACCAATCACCCTCAAACTACAGCAGAAATACAGGATTCTTCATGACTGCTTCCCTGAGTACCTTACCAACTCCCGACCCACAGGCCCTGTGCTGTTTTGGAGGGCAAGAAGAAACAGAGAGACATGCATTGCCTGATAGAACATCATGATGTTTTCAGTCAGTGTGTAACAGCTGACTGAAAATACATCTTTTGTGGTGATAAAACTTTCTACATGTTTTCTACAACCATTCAAAATTTCACAGTAGTTAATATATCTGAAGTATAAACTTTTTGTATTGTATAACAGTTATTTTCTGCCTGAGATGTCAGCAAGCATGACAGCTAGAGAGATCCTTGGAGAGGCAGCTCCCCTGACTTCCTCACCAGGTCTTCTCAGTTGGTGTGATTGTGACTATGGGTCCAAGATAGTTCGTCATCAGTGATGTTTTTTGGTTTGTGATACTGTAAAATATTCAAGGTTTTTTCTTTGTTTGTTCCTATTGTCTACTCACATAAATGGAATGAATGTATGATTGCTATTTTTTATCATGTTCATCATCATAATCAGTATGACTAACATGATCTGGTATTAGACTTTCTTAAAGACAAAGTTTGTCAATTTAAAGATAAAAATTCAACCTTAAAAAGGAAGTTGAAATGGCTCGCTAGTGATTTTATTATTTAAATCTCCAGAAAAAAATGGCAAGACCAGTAGAACTCTATCTGTGTATTCTTAAGGAAATGCTTCCTTATTATTTTTGAAATATATAAGATGGAAAACTTTGAGTGAATTTGAAATCTATTCAAATTATCATAAGAGGAGGGGGCGGAGCAAGATGGCGGAGGAGTAGGAGACCTGGATTTCGTCTGGTCTCAGGAATTCGGCTGAATAGGGATCAAACCATTCTGAACACCTACGAACTCAACAGGAGATCGAAGAGGAGAGTAGCAACAACTCTCTGAACAGGGAAGCGACCCCTTACTGGAAGGTAGGACGTGTGGAGAAGTGAATCCGAGGCGATATTCGGGAGGATAGACGGCGGGGGAGGGGCCTCCATCGGCCGCTTCTGGCAAGTGATAGAGCCGCGGAGCACAAAATCGGAACTTTGAGAAGTCGGCTCCGTGGAGGGACGTCGCTGCAGTGGCTAAGCGGGGGGTGGAACCCTCCCGGGACAGTGAGGTCTCGGGACCCTCGGGGTCATAGAAAGACCGGGGGTGCCTGAGTGCGCCAGAGCTCCCAGGTATCGGAGCGGGGAAGCCGGCTGCAGAGACAGAGCAGAGTCGCGGGCTCTCAGCTCGGGGTTGCCATAAACTGTGATCCGCAGCCCAGTCGGGCCACTGCTCCTCCAGCAGGGACCCAACAAGTGGCAGATCCGGGAAGACTCCCCTTCCTCCCCCGGGAGGAGCGGCGCGGGAACGCACCGCAGGGATCTGCTGGGTTTGGAGACTCCACACGGGGTCGGGTGCCAGAGATAGAAATGCTGGGTCACAGGCCGGGTGAGCACGGAGTGCGGCCGGAGACCGGGGAGACGGGAGTGACTGCTTTTCTCTGGGGGCGCACTGAGGAGCGGGGCCCCGAGTTCTCAGCTCCTCCGGGCGGAGATTGGGAGGCCACCATTTTCACCCTGGTCCTCCAAAGCTGTACCGAGAGCTTACAGGGAACAAAAGCTCCTGAGAGCAAACCTGAGCAGCTTGCTTAGCCCGGACTCACAAGGGCGGGGCGATTCCGCCTCCGGCAAAGACATTTGGGAACCACGGCAACAGGCGCCTCCCCCAGAAGATCAGCACCAACAGCCAGCAAGCCAAGACCAAGTTTACCGATCAAGGAGAACGGGAGAACTCCAGCGCTAGGGGAATACTGCACATAGAATTCATGGCTTTTTTACCATAATTCATTAGTTTTTCAAAGTTAATTTTTTTAACTGCTTTTTTTTGAATTTTTTTCCCTTTTTCAAACAACATCTTATCAATCCCTTTTTTAAAAAAAACATTTTTTATTTTTCATTTTTAGAGTCATATTTTTATCCCTTCATAGTAGTTACCCTTATTTTTGGCATATATATATATAAGTTGTTCTCTCTTTAAAATTTTGAGATACAATTTCTTCTAACAGATCAAAATATACCCTAAATCACTAGTGTATGGCTCTGTTCTAGTCTCCTGCCTGATCACATTCTCTCCCTTTTTTTTTCTTTTCTTTCTTTTTTCTTTTTCCTTTTAAGTCTTCTTCTTTCTTTTTAAAAACAACTTCTTATCTTATCAAGTCCTTTATAAAATCTTTTATAATTTTCATCTTTACGGTCATCTGCCAACCCTTCATTGTATCAACCCTTAATTTGTACATATATAAGTCTTTCTTCCTTTAAAATTTTAGCAGGCACTTTCTTCTAACAGACCAAAATATGCCCAAAAGCTAGTGTGTGGCACTGATCTACGCACTAGCCTGATCATATTTGATCATATTCTGTTTTATTTTTGTTTTGTTCTGTTTTTGTTTGTTTTTATCTTTTTCTTTTTCCTTTTTTTTTCTCTTCTTTCTTTCCCTTTCTTGTCCCCTGGTTTCAGGTCTTTTCTGATTTGTATAGAGTATATTTGCTGGAGACGTTGTTAACCTGTTAGCATTCTGTTCTCTCATTCATCTATTCTCCTCTGGACAAAATGACAAGATGAAAAAAATCACCTCAGCAAAAAGAACAAGAGGTAGTACCGTCTGCCAGGGACCTACTCAATACTGACATTAGTACAATGTCGGACCTAGAGTTCAGAATCATGACTTTAAAGATACTAGCTGGGCTTGAAAAAAGC